AAGAGAATCACAGTGACAATAATAAGCAGACATTTGAGGAGGAACCAGTAGTAACATGAAGAAAGTATGACATTTCATTGGATGATGGCAGATTAGAAAGGGTGTACCAATCTGCGCTACTGATAACCATTCTTAGTCATACTACTAATAGTCTGCATCAACTGGTTTTTATCATCCTGGGGACTCCAGCCAGTCAGAGTTGACCTTCCTATTTAGCTCAAACCAACTGTCGGAGTCAACACAGGCTGATGCCAAACTGATAGTTTAACCCCTCCTGACTCTTTTCCAACCCAAAGGTGAAAGTGAATGATGATCTGATCATTAAACATCAGCAGTAGGTTTCACCTCATTTGTTCACTACTATAAATGTAGTGGTAAAATCATACATTTCCCGATTTTCATCTAATATCCCGTTTTGTTATGTAGCCTTTTACACAGTATATTACAGTATATCGGAAATCACGCTTGGTCGTCACACTGAAGCCTATTAATCGACTGAGATGTGCATTTTTGTGAAGCGGTGTTAATTTCCATCTGAAAAATGAAATCTTACGCATGAAAATTGACAGTTGTCCAGGTGTTTAACTGAACAAAGCGCTGTACTAATATAGCTTATTAACGGACACTATACTAGTTTATGATTTAATGTTTTTTTTCACGTTTCAAAATTTGTCAGATGACTTATTGCATACGAGAGGTATACGATAGTCTTCTAAATAAAAAGCACAAACTGTAGAGTAGACATTGTAATGTATAGTAAATTTCATGTTTTGACATATGAATGTATAGAGATATGGATTTCTACATTTCTCTTACTTGTTATTCACAGAAAATACATCGAAGCTGAATTTTTAGGTAACATTGTAAAACAACTTGGGGAATAGATTAGTGTTCAAGAAAAATACTTTATCCCTACTTTTATGACTAAAGAGAGTCCGAGTGGTGAGGCGTTTGGCGCAAAACGATGTTCGCTAGAGAACCATCTAACAAAGATGAAGCACTGAAAAGCGTTTCAATCTAGTTTATTCCTGTATACGTTTTAACTATATTACGAATACGAGATGCACAAAACTTGTGTGCCTCTGGACTGTAAATTTGGTGCTGAAAAATAAAACTTAATGTATATGACCTAGATACTTGGTAAGGCAGCGAGTGTGAAGTGATGAAAACTGATTAATTAGATCTAAACAGATGTATAACGCTCTTTGATTTATCATTGGTTCTCTTGCTGATATCCACCCATTACGGAACTCTACGTTCTTATTGTTATTTTAAAAAAGTGATACAGGTTACAATTGGGTTAGAATAAAACGACACTTCTGATCTCTGATTCTATGTCCAGAGAAAGAGAATGACAATTAGCAATAAATTAATCTGTGTAAGCATATAAATGGAATTATAATCTGCATCCCACAGTTTAAACTACGTCAATAAACTCTTTCGACATATTATTTTTCTTCGCATGTGTAATTCTCATTTATTTATCTTACTCTGTTAGTATAATTTGATCATATATTTGGACGACTATCACAAAACAAAGATTTTCGCAAACACAAGCAACTACAGTTTTCTACTTTATTTCTAATGCAAACCTATGTAGATTTTGTATGTGTGTATGTAGAGTGTGTAAAGTGAATTATTTATGGCAGCAAGTCTATTGAAGTTTTGAAGCTGGTGAGAGTTAATGTATCATAGAGTTCATATGTGTAGTTAGCGTGACACTCACCTAATCTTGAAAACATATGTTATCCTCTCACAAGTCACTATTCTTTTAAAGCGATTTCACTGTGACCAACCTTATTTATTTAGGTTGCATCACAGAATAACTTAGCATTTTCCTCGAAATTCATTTGTCTACAGCTTAATTTTAATTAATCAGTGAAAGACAAACGTAGCAGATGAATAGCATGGCGTATCGATCAAATAACGGTTTCGTTTTAGTCAAAGCATTCATTCTTACCAACTTCAAATCTTCATTTAGAAGAATAAAGCATAATATCAAATTTCCGTTCAATTGAGAAAGCATGCGCATTTCTAGTATTGTTATGAATAATCACACGCTTTAGCAAGTTTAAGACTCAATGTCCTCTACGAAGCAGCAAAATACTTATTACTTAAAAATGTTCTTAACATGGCACTAGTAAACACCATTCTGTATTGTATTTTGAACAGTTTAGTATTTTGTGAATAATTGTTTTAATACCCTTGGAATTGTAAAAGTGTTATTTAGTATTTATTGATACACTGTAACTCTCCATTTTTACACACTAATGACCTGCTATAAAGTTGCGCTCTTCAGATCGTGAGCAATAATTACATATTGTGATGAAAGCTAAATTACAGGTAAATAACTTGTCATCTATTAGGTAATTTCTGTGCACTAATACACGCTTCAGTAAAAGAGTGTACGCAGTGTTTACATTAGAAAGAATGTTGTCTTCAGAATGTGTAATATGTTAGAAATTTCTGCTGAATAAGATGTTTATGAATATGGATGTCTAGTTCAGTTTTCTAACATTTTTTATGTTCAGTAAACAGTGTAATGGATACTTCATATGGCTAAGTAAGTAAGAATATTTTATGTTTATATTTAAAAAGGTATTTATTTGAAACATATTCTTATCTGTATAGGCTGAAATGTTAAGTTTTTTAAATTTGTTACTTATTCTGTCCATGAAGTAAAAATATGAAGCAGATACTCCTTTTACTGATTTTTTTTCATACATTTATTCCCCTTAATGAATTTGAACAAAGCAAGACCTGCGGTTTTAGCAATATAAGGTGGTACCATCTTTTATTTCGTTGCCTTCTCATCAGCTGCTTACAGAGCAAAGACATTTTTAAATATATCTACAAAAGCAATTTTAACTTTCTTTGTAGATATATTTAAAAATTTCTTTGCCCTTTAAGCAGCTGACAAGAAGGCAACGAAATAAAAGATGGTACGACTTTATTCTGCTGAAACTGATTTTTTTATTCCATGAGTTTCAAGCAGAACATATAGCTTCAAGTTTAAAAGATTCCATTGTATTTGGAGTTGTTTTAGGATTTGACGTTGTCATTTTCACAACCAGCCTTCCCTCTTTTCCGGATTTACCATTGACTGGTAGAGTAGGCAAGCTTTATGAGTGAGTCTACTGAGTATCAAAACTGAACTTTCCATGAGGCTGGCGACCATTTAACCTTAACTGTTACACGTTAATATATTTAGCCATGTTAATTCTGCAGGATTAAAAAGTAAGTGCACATTTCTGTGGTATTAAAGTAGAAAAAAAATAAAAATGGATACTTAGTAGTTTTTTATTTAGGCAGGAACTGATAGGTAACGAAGTTTACTCAGTTTAAAGGATGTAATGCATTAATAATGTATTCAAGTGACATGTGTCTGTTGAAAGTGAGTTGTTTTTCTAACCCAATGATATACATCAAGATGACAGTACAAAAAAGCAGTCATAAGAACACAGATACTTGGATGGTCAATGTAAAATTTGTTGTACTTGAGATCTGCCGGTATTCTTGTCTTTAAACTCGGTGTTTCAAATTTAAGTGGATGCTAATGAAGTGAATCAAATAAAGGGTAGAAACTGAAATTGATCCGACTCAGACATACACACACAACGGCAGTTACAAACAAACAATTGTCCAAAGTTATATGAAACTTAGTGAATGTTTTTCTTACCTTCGCCAAGGCTTTTAATGTTTTAACCTAATCTAAAATATTCTTCAAAAGGTTGATTTCGATTAGGAAAGCTTAGCTAGGTGTGAAACACCCATTTATTATTCTTTTGTTTCTAATCATCTGTTCAATATTTGTCGACTGTGAACGTAGTTAAATCCCTAAATAATTTTTGTTTATTTCTTTTTCAAGTGGACGACCTTACTAGTCTTATAGGTTCCTAAGGTAAAAGACCGTGTAATCCAAACTGCTTGTAAAAACGTTTGAGGTACATACACTTAGATTGAATTCACTTAAAACATACTTTACGTTATATTATTTCTTTTTGAGAGAGACATTCTTTATATGCCTTTGGATTATAGCCTAGTCACATATAAGAAATGACAGAGGACGACGAAAACCTAAGACAGAGATTATTAAAGTGAACCGAATTCTCTTCTTTGGACTGTTTACACTTTTGTACAGAATTTATTTCCAAATTTGAGTTAATAGTATTCAAAGTATTGCAGTTTTATCAATATGGTTTTGTTTTCTGAACTGTATGATTCACTGCCTCTCGAGACTAATTCTTTAATGCAGACACCCGTATGATCTACCTGAGTTAAAAATCTTCTTGATTATATTCTAGTTTTTTTATTTCGTAATAAAGCATTTCACTCGAAGAGTAATTAATTATTATTCTTTTAGAAATTCACCAATTACTTGATATATGTGGTATAATTTTACAGTGGTGGCACAGTGGTTAGGACTCTCGCCGACCATACACATGTTCCGAGATTCGATCCCCTGCCGACGCACATCTGATATCTATGGTCGGCCTGCAAAATTTGGACTACCGATATCCATGGTGAAAATTCCATACTTGTACCAAAAACACAATGTGGAATCAAGCTGTAATCAAAAAATAAAATAAAAAATAAAAAAATAATAATTTTGTCAAACTGCTCTAGGTTGTAGTTTTCTGATTTTGAACGATATCAGTAGAACCATGGATGTGGTTTCAGGCAACAAATGTATGCATAAAGTTATCGGAACATCACCGTCGTGATAAGAAAATCTTCAAGAGAATATCATAGTTTTGCCGTTTTTTCACTTGTCGACAAATGTTTACCAGCGTATTCATAAATCCACAATTTGTTAAAAAAAAGTGAATTTCATTTAACTTCAATAAATTTTAACCCTACTGACAAAATGAAATTAACATATTTTTGTCATTCTCTCTTGTTGTACCGCTTGGACTGCTACATTTCAAAGAACTTTGTTTAAATACTGGTTGACGCAAATTATTCTTTCCGTTATTCAATTTTTTTTACAAAACGTTTAGGTGGAAAGAATTGAAATAAAAGACGTCCGACTACCCATACAACTCCAACGCGCTATGGCAGCCGAAGCTGAGGCAGCAAGAGAAGCTCGTGCCAAGGTGAGTTTATTTTTGAAGTTGTTATGTATGAATACTGGGGCTTAATATATCTTGTAACTTAAACAGTCGATAGACAAATAACTTCATACCGTTGTATATGAAAGCTACCAGTGTCAACTGTGAAAAACGTTTACTTTCAAGATTCTATCGAAAACGAATAATTATGTCCGCGATAATAATGTCAACAAAATTACTGTTTCGTCTTCTGAATCATCATCTTGCTGAAATACACACTTGAAAACTTTAGTCAATGCAGTTATTGCATCGTATGCATTCAGGTATAAAATCTTCAGCTAGTAAGAACTAATACTTTTATTCATCCTCTATTGACACTAAAGTGGGAAACGTGAAGTATACCAAACATTTACATTCAATATATTATTATTACTATATCCTTTCATTCCTAGAGGAACATAGGGCTTCAGCTGCGCACCTCCATTGCGTTCGATTTTCTGCCAACGTTTTCACCCCGCTCCAAGTCTGCCCACATGCTTTTATCTCCTCCTCACATGACCTCCTCCAAGTCACCCTTCCACTGACGACCAACTCGCCGCTTCCCACCCGGGTTCCACTCGAGCAATGGCTTGTCTAGTGATGTCACTTGATGGTTTCCTCAGAGTATGGCCAGCCAATCCATCTCCATTTCTTCCTGCCTATTTGTTTCACAATCGGTTCCTGCTGTGCTGGTTTGCTCATTGCCAGAGATCCCTATTTCACATTCAATATATAAGTGTATATTATTGTTTCCTTGTGTTCTGAGTGAAATATATCGCTTTGTCCTGCTCTCTGTAATTCTCTTTAGCTGGCCCAAAGATTGTGCAAAGTCTTTCATCTCTTCCTTGCACGGTTTCCTCCATGTCACCCTCGGACGACACACTCGTCTTTTCCCATCTCCTGACACGTGATATCATTCGAAGATCTCCTTATCGTGTGCCCATCCATCCCCATACTATTCTACAAATTTCTTGGGCAATAGGTTCTCGGTTGGTTCATTCTCATAGTTTATTGTTACTGATGTCTCTTTCTGGCCATGTCATGATACATATGGAGAAAAAGAAAATTTTCATAAAAGTCTTAAAGCTGTTCAACACGCTTTTCACGACGCACAAAGTTTCTGACTCATAAGAAGATCTGATTCAACAATGGTGTTGAAAATCCAAATCTTATTTCCTATGCTCAGAACAGAAGATTTCAGAACCGACCACAAATTGATAAAGGTGTGTCTTGCCTCGTTTTGACGTGTCATCCGTTCTGTCGCCTGTGGTCGAAACGATGATTCCTAGATAGTACTTCAAGAATTGAAAACATTTATTTCCGATACGAATTGAAAACAATCAATAAAGGTTAATAAACCAGGATTTAATGAATTCATCAAATGTCGGTAGAACTCGTCAGCTGAATGCTCTACATACACGGACATATATGCACTTTTGAAATTACATTGGGAGATATAAGACTGATAAGTAAACAAACTACATTGAATTAGTCATGCAGAAAGACAGGTGAGAATGTTTTCCAGGTCATGTTCAAATAGATACGGGGAGAGAGAGCATGAGAGATCAAAATTAAGATAAATTGCATTACGCTTCAATTACATTACTTAGATAAACAATTAGTCATTAGAGAATATAACAAGAATTGCAACCAGACTAATATCAATAGTAATAGTTATAGTAACAATAATAATAATAGTGTTGAAGTGGGTAAAGATAATCCTACTGATAAAGGATAGTTTTAAATGAGTCAAAAATAATAATGATAATAATAATAAGAGGTAGAATAATAATAAAGAGTAAAGAATAATAAGTAAAACGTATTACCATGGTAAATTCAGAGTCACGATCATCTCCTTTTGCACACAGACACCTGGTTTATAAACTCGAAATGCACAAGCCTCTGCTATTGCAAGCATCTTCTTGTTTCTTTGTCTGCTAACAATAGTGAATGACTTAACCACTGCGGTGTCATGTCCGTAGTCCACAAGGTATTTTGTTATTGAGGATTTTGGCACTTTGCACTCAGCTGTTTTCAACCATTTTGGCAAATGCTCCATCATGCGAGTAGACAATCGCCTTTCTGTACAACCTATGTATTTGCTTCCCCAAACACACGCAAACTGATATACGCAGTTTGAAGTGTCGAGGATTGGCGACTGGTCTTTCCCAGATTGTAGAAGCACTCACTTAGTGGTGTTAAGGATAAGAAGTTTTGCAGTATAATAAGTTCTCTTGATGGCTTTGTTGAGTCTTCATTTGACTACTTCCTGTACATCATCTCCTTTGAACGGCAAACTGATGCAGACAGGTTTCTTCGGAACTGTTCGGATTGTTTCGCAGGGGCTAATTTCTTTAGAGTTGATGGCGGTTGCTGCTAGTCGCTGTTGCTACTGTTCTTTGGCTTGTTGGTTATCTTCACCACCTCCGTCCCCACCTTCTATGTGCTCACTGGGAGTCCTGTCTTCAAGGTCTGTTTGTTCATCCAGTTCGTTGATTTTCGTCTGTAATTTGTGTGACATTAGACATAAATCATCTGAGCAGTTCGGATCTTCCTTGGTCTTCTTATTAGTCCAGTGTATTCACCATACATGGTGTGGCGCATAATTTAGTCCATCATTATAAGGAACATCATCGGTGATAATAGGCAGTCTTGCATAGCAGGATCTTGATTTTGTTGAATATTTTCTTCGTGTATCCAAACTTTTCGAAATGAATAGTCATTTCTTATTAGAAATGTCATACAAGGAAATTGTACTCGTCAAGAAATTATCAAGACATCAAGAATTCTAATTTTCGTTGGTAATTCGAAATATCATATTTGAAGATGACTAGAAGTAATAAAGTTAATCTTAACTATGAAGTCCTGAGAAAGTTTCCATGAGTAAAATGAATGAAAGTTTACCTGTAAGACATCACTGAGGCATCTATTGTTTAGATGTCAAATGCTGCCTTTCTCTGTCTACGTAAATAAAACTATAGTGGAGAACAATAATTTCATAGGATCAATCTATCTTTATTGATTTATATATATATATATATATATATATATATATTTGAAATAAAATAGTTTATTTAGCTTAACGTTAGCAATAATTTTGTCACGTGATAAGGATGCTTTTCTCAGACTAAGTATTCAGATGAAAATGAAATAAAAATTTATGTGAAATTATATCAGAATCATTTAGGATAAGATTAAATGCTTAGTGGAATTTTAATTTTCTTTGTCTCCGTTAAGGAGATTAGGAATAATCATCTAAGAACACTCAGGTGAAAAAAACATTCATTTCATTGGTTCGTTGTGGTTATTATTCTGTGGTTAAGCAATAAAGACTTCTGATTTTTTGAATTTAAGGAGAATAAGAGCACATTTATATCTAGAAAATTATGAGAACATAAACTATCAGAAAATATTATAACTTTCAGGATGTCATCATGAGCTGACATTAGTTAGAGAACAGTTGGAAAACCTGGGAGTACTGAACAGCTGTTTCGTCCCAGTTTGGGACTCTTCAGCAGTATTCACTCACCGGGATTCGAACCCAGGACCTTCCGGTTACAAGGCCAGTGAGGTCGTATGCCATTAAGCCACTGGGACCCAATCCAATGTTCCTTGAATTCTAACTTCTGCCAATTCACGACATAGCGCGACCGCTAGCCAATGTCTTCAGCGAGTATTTGTCCTCAAACCCGACCGGCTGCACCCTACTTCTGGGAAAGAATATATACTCGTTTCTGTGCACACTACTACCAATGTATACTCAAATTTCTAAATAATTTATCGTTGTAATTACTTACCAAGCTTTTTTCGGTCACTGTACAACTAATTATAGATCGCAGAACTCCCAGACTTCAATTCGGATTTACTTTGAAACCCTTAGAATGTTATTTTACCTGACATCAAATATGACAACCGGAACCAGCTCCTTTTGAACCATAATGCGTTGTGATACCACTCAGAAAACCCTGAATATCCTACGCACATCTCCATCATCTTTTCAAGTTTTTTTGACATGCCGTAATCAATCATGCAAAAAAATGTTGTGTACATTTTCGTCATGTGAGTTCTTAGTCAATCGTAAGCATAAGAAATGTTGAAGAGTTGAAGGTTAATGAAAAGAGAATCCTCTTTGGATGTTGTGTGGCCTTCAGAAGTTCTAAGTTTGGTGATATAAAACTGTTTGTCAATTGTCAACAGAATAAAAAGAGTGTATGACAAGTGGGTGTATAGAATCTTATTCACAGGAAAACTGTTATTCTCATAGTGAATGCATTTAAAATGAAATCATATCACTTCTGTTACATTTCGCATTTTGTTTATTAATGGTTTTTCAAATCATGTTAACCAAGAACGATCTGAAGCCAGTTACGAGCATCACTCAGAAACTTGAGGAATATTTACAGAACTTTTAAGCTGGTTTTATTTGAAGTTAATTCAATTAGGATGAGAAATGTTGATGCAATACTTTTATATGAGAACACTAATAGTTTTCGTGGTCACATGTAGTCCTCTGACCATATTTATGGCATTGTGTCACTTATTGAGGTTACCGGTTTCACTTATCCAGTCATCATGGTTTCAACTATAGGATAAAGATGTCAAAACCAGGCAGGATCAGAAAGATTGATCTTCATTACTCTGAAATCAGTATGGAAATCTACTGAACTCAGCATAAGGAGCAAGACTCAGATTTTCAACTCTAACGTTAAATCTGTGCTTGTATATAATCCAGACACCTGGTTAGAACAGGCTGCAGACTTTTATTTTTTACCTTTTATTTTTGATTACAGCTTGATTCCACACTGTATTTTTGGTACAAGTATGGAATTTTCACCATGGATATCGGTAGCCCAAATTTTGCAGGCCGACCATAGATATCAGATGTGCGTCGGCAGGGGATCGAATCTCGGAACATGTGTATGGTCGGCGAGGGTCCTAACCACTGTGCCACCGACTCACATTCGCTGCATACCGAATATCGCATTGCTGGCCAAAAATGGTTAACGAAAGGGAACTCTAATTACAAACCCATTGGAAACTTATTGCATAGGAAACACAAAAGAAAATGGAAATGTATTGGACACACGCTGATGAGACCCTTGAGTGGCATCGAGCCATAGGTTTTCGAGTGAAATCCGAGGGGAAAACGGCGAGCTGAGTATGCATCTAAAGGTGAGGTGGATGAGGTCGTGTGAGTGGGAGATGAAAGCTTATGGGCGTTCGCTAGGCCAGCCTAAGGGGAATGAAGAAATTAAGATGGTACGAAGATAAGTTGTTGCAGCAAAATGTTAAACTCGGAACCCTACGAAATAATAATAAGCGCTTCACGACATGTCTCTATCAATGCTATCTTTCAAATATTCACTATCTGCTTGAGTCATAATTCTTATACATGTTAACTTGGAAAGAGGTCTAGTGATCACATTTTCACCCCACTTACTTCATTAGTATTTACAGTAGTCGATTTGTTCGTGTGGTTATAAATTATTGGATCCGTGGGAGCAATTGAACTCTTTAGATTACCTGTTTTACAGCAGAATATTATTTTTAAGTCATGACACGCTAACTTGTTGGATTTATACTCTTGACTTATTTACCGCTGAAAAGAAAGTAGTAGATAGGACAATTCTGTGGAGTTGTGCTGATGAATCTATTAAGCTATAAGATGTTGGCCTTTCAGTATATTTGTATGAACACACTGTGAATCAAAAGTATAATTAGATTCCTCCTCCATACATTAATACTTTGTAGTTGATTATTTAAAGCGTAATGACTTCTAGCAATTTGTTCCTCATATTCAGGTTAGCTGCGTGCAATGTGCAAAAATGGTGTCATCAAATTTGAAAAAGATTATGCTAAAAAGTGATAAATATTAAGAGCAAAGTTGCATTGATGTTATGCAGATTTTACTAGAATAGGGTGAATCTTCGAAAAAGGAAGTTTTTCAGTATAAAAAAGGTGAGAAAGAAAAGTTTATCCTCATCATTCATTTACTCAAATGTCTAAGCTATGATAAGTGGATTTCCTGCAGCATACTTCACATCGGATCGATAAGGATGCTATTAGCAGATGAATTTTAGAAAAAAATAAACAGTCAAGATGAGCTGGTTAAAAAACAGAAAGACAGAACCATAATCCAAATGCAAATCAACTCACATATGCATATATATATATATATATATGGATTCATTTTTAAATATAGTCATGACATTATCATAGGATTATCTCATTCACATTTCATTTTAATCGGAAGTGTTATGACAGTAGGATATAGATGGTTATTGCAAGAGATACACGGAAAAATAAGAGATACAACTGAAAACATTCGTTAATAGTCAGAAACAAGTTCAGGTAGATATGCTCATTCAGCAGCAACAATATTTGATAGTGATATTATGACTTACAGCTACAGGTGCATATACAGTCGCAATTCACTTATACTAAAGATTATATTTAAATATGCTAAAAAATAATTGCGTTCAGTTTTTCTTTCACATTTAAATATAATTTTCTGATTTTTCTGTCAGATGATAGTAAGTTAGGTTTCGATGCCCGGTCAGCATACTCCCAAACCTCGCTAAGCTATTTTTAAGGGAAGGTTAGGCATGAGGCTAGCAACTCCACGCTGTAAAAGTAGAACTTTAGAGCTTCAGTTTGAAACCATATGTTCCACTCGGAGTTTGAAAGGAATGCAAAAACATGTGAAATCACCTGGTGGCTATAATTCTCATATAATGGCTTTTTGATGTGGTGAGATATCATGAAAACGTGGAACTATGGGACGTAACTTGTGTTACGTTATTATTAGTAGTATAAAGCTTACAATCATTATTAAGATATCTGAAGGGTACATGAATTTAGCTTGCAATTTTAGAATCAGTTTTAATTATAAAGTCGAGGGAAACTTAAATGATATTAGTTCGATTTAAAATCAGACTGCCAGAATAATTCAATATATGACATCGGCTAAACGGAACCTTCAGTCAGGGCTGCTGGGAAGTTGTTTTTTATGCGAAATGCTTCAGAAGATTTTACAGTTGACTTATGTCTTCTCTGAAATGAGCTAAGTAAGCAGATGGTTGAAACCATTCTTCTTTGAGAATTTATCAAGCAGTGAAAAGTTTGAAATCTAAAGTTTTAAAAGGTAAGATGTTTCTAAGTTTTATGTATTCTGTGCACTTTAACATCCCTAAGATATATAATCAGGAAATGTTACAATAAAGTTAATGTACTAACCACGCCCTAATTACCAGGTAAACGTTTTAATCATTAGTGAGGAAGAATGACAGTAATCGTTCTTTTTAATGCTGAAGATATATACTGAAACTTTCACTGTACTATCAGTGAATCTTCAAATGGTGCATCATAAGAGAATTATCAATATGCTATCAATATAGTGGTCCAGATTTTATCCGTCTTTGATTAATTGAAAAGCAGTCCTGTTGTCATCAAGTTCATAAAGTGGTAGTGATTAAAAGATAGGTCAATAAGGGAATTTTGTTAGAAGTGTTGTTGCTAGTATTCTATGTTGAAAATGGTTTAACAAACAACCTTAATGGAAGATGTTAGGAAAATCTTCCTTGTTGTAGAGAAAAATGCTCGCTTTAGTATGCTTTGCATAGCTACTTTTTACTGTAGACACATTTCATTTTAGTATAACCTCATCATGTGAGGTCTCCTTCCATAATACACAGTACTGAGTTTATCTCCAATATGATGAAAGAAGCTCTTCCTTCAGTACAATTTAAATCACAAAACTTTGCACTCCTGGTGTGATCTATAGGAAGTGTTTTGGTACCCAAATAACCTATTTGTTGATTTGCTTCCATAAGTATAACCTTTGTAAATATTATTGTTTGAACGATCAGTAAAAATGATGAAATTCAATATGCATTTCAATCTGAATGCAGTAACTACTAGATGCATACCTCTGTATAAATCAAAATAGTTCCTCTGATAACGCAAAGTCCAAATTTATTCTAGCAATATCAGAAACTCACCTTGATGCGATAAAAATTATTCTACTAATCAATAAAATAACATCGAAAATACAAAACTGCCTCAACACTGCTGTTTAGCAGCTATACTGTCCCAAAGTTCTTCAGGGAGAAAATTTGAAGTGCACAACAAAATGAAACAACTATAAACTACCTGAGAATCAGTAAAGATGTACCCAACAAGGTGAGATCAAAACTGTCTGTATGAAACCCATAGAACAAACACGCCCCCTATGGACGGACTATGGTTAAGCGGTCATTACACAGAGTAACTGTGACTCGACTCAGACGAATTCGTAAAAGCATCATCACACAATAGCAAGGAGAAGAACTCAGATTAGGGATAAATCAAAAATAACATTAACTGATTACGTTTCGAGCACAAACTATTGCTCATAATCATATCAAGTTAACCACACAACTTTTTCCCTTCATTTATATACATGTTTGGAATTGACCAGATATTTGAATACAAATCAGTATGCGATAATGTACATTCAGAAATAATAATATGAGTGTTATTGATCAATTACAATCAGATGGGAAATGACACGGGTGTTTTTATAGTCATAATAAGTATTTTGTTAGAATGTTGTGATATGCTTGAACTGAATCAGAATTTTGAGATTATTTATTATCCTCCCCTGACTTGACTGGTGGTAATAACATGAGTGTTATGAGAAATGGTCATCATGCCTTAATGTTTTGAATGAAAAAGAGACAGAGAAAAGTGTTGATTTAGAGACGCTGTGAGTTAAATGTGAACTTGAAAAGTGCTAATCAGGTGATATTCAGTAGGAGCAGAAAACTATCAAAATTATGAATTTGGTGAGTAACACAGCTAAATGTAAAGCATCAATACACCAGGGCTATTGGACTTAATACTTTGACTAACAAGTATCGAACTATTAAACATGATGATGAACAGTTTCTTAGTTTCCCAAGAATTTTAAGTTGAGTGTGATTAACCAAGATAAGATACTTAAAAGCGAATCGTTCTTATTATTCTCATGACAAAAGCGGTTTCAGAAAACTCACCGACACCGTAAGTTTTTTTTTAATTACAGCTTGATTCCACACCGTATTTTTGGTACAAGTATGGAATTTTCAGCGTGGATATCGGTAGCCCAAATTTCGCAGGCCGACCATAGATATCAGGTGTGCGTCCGCGAGGGCTCGAACCCCGGACCATGTGCATGGTCAGCGAGAGTCCTAACCACTGTGCCACCGACGCTTCATTTTCAAAGGAAAGATTGTGTAAAATGAAAGCACAAATTAAGCAAAAGTAGATATTATTATTATATATTTTTAGTAACGCCAGATAATTTTTGAATAATAGTTAACTCATCTACAGATTTTCTCACCTAAACCCTAGTTGTATACTGTAATGAATCTGATGGGTTACATCCATAAATTATTGGTGTAATTGACATTTAGAACACCTTAAAACGCGAAGAAATTTTCAAAGGCAAGAACAAATGAAAACATTGAAAATAGGCAGCAGATTGCACGAAATCAGAAGACGTTTAGTATCTCTTCTTTAATAAAAATAACTAGAATATCTATAAATACTTGCCACATGCAGCTTTTCCATATTACTTTTTTATTAGATATATAACACAGTGAAACAGTATTATTTACTGGATGACACAGTTCCGAACACAATTTATTGTTCATAATCATATCAATTATAATCAAACGACTTTGAGACTTGAGTTTTATAGTTTTCTTTGCCTTCTCCTATTTGTCGTCGTAGGGGTAGTAGAATTTTCCAGATATCTGGGACAGGTGATGAATTAAGTTAGTTATAAATAAGTCAGGAAATATGTAAGGAAATGTAAAAATAAAATAATTTATAATAGTAGCAATAGTGATAATAATATTAATGACGACACCAAAAATAAGGAATCTAAACCATCAGTAGTAATTCCATACAAGGAAGGAACCCTGGAAGCCTTACGCAGAATTCTTAATAAGGCAGGAATAAAAGTGGCATTCAAACCCACAAACTCAATTAGAAACAAACTTTGTGGGTTGAAGGATCCTGTGGAGCCTTTAAAACAAAACAATTTAGTTTATCTAATACCCTGCCTACAATGATTGTCAGGTCAAATACATTGGTCAAACTAGTAGAACAGGGGCAGTCAGACTAGCCAAACACAAAAACCTAGCAAAATCTAGATTAGTTGCCCCGAATAAGATAAGAAATCTAGAGAATAGTTCAGCTATAGCACTACATGCAGTTACACACAACCATATAATAGGATGGGATAGGATAACAGTTTTAAAATCTAATGTCACAGGGTATAGGGAGAGATTGATAACAGAAGATGTGGTTATCGAATCAACTGCAAATACATGTAATAGGAATGATTCAACACCTGTCCCAGATATCTGGAAAATTCTACTACCCCTACGACGACAAATAGAAGAAGACAAAGAAAACAATAAGACTCAAGTTTCAAGGTCGTGTGATTATAATTGATATGATTATGAACAACAAATTTTGTTCGGAACTGTGTCATCCAGTAAATAATACTGTTTCACTGTGTGATACATCTAATAAACAAACTAATATAGAATTACTTTCTACCACGGTGCCCAAGTTTTACACATATATTCACATGTAGATTTGCACATAAAAAAATTAAGGATTGTATATGACATTCTAAGTGAAAATAGCTGTCCAGAAAAGCACATGGACAGGAAAATTTACACATTTTCATAGCTTCATTCCTCTCGAGTAAAAATAGGAATTTGAATTCACTAATAAATATCTGATGACTAACTTGTCAACAGTATAATACAACTTATTTATTATCCAAATCTCACTAAGTGCTCAGATTTAAGGCTTAAAGCTGGAATAATGGAGACACGTGTTTCCGAATTTCTACTATGGTTTGGTTTGTTTGCAGATAACTTTACGGATGATACTTAAGTATTCAGTGCTTATTTTAATTACACTTTTTATACTCTTATCTCAATCAACAACACGTCATTCTTTTTTTCCATATTTGAAGGCGAAACATGCGGGTTGAAGTTGTTCAACAAAACAGGATGAGATTAGTATTTGCTGAAGCTAATCGTTCAAATTTTCAAGTCATCTGTTACAATGCTTCGTCATCATAAAAATATCCTTACTATCTAACCTCGTTTTATTCCTAAGACGAAGAATGAATATAAGTATATTCTGGAACAGTTTTAATAATGATAAAATGGTCGAAGTTTTACTGTCTGTGTAATTTATACTATCAGTCCCTGATTTTATTTAAAAATCTATTCTATTTGGAGTGTTATTTAACAAACATATTCTCTTCCGATTTCACAGGTTACGTTGAGCAATTTCCATTCAAACCTACAGTAAACGGTTGAAATTGGTAGCTATATGTAAAGTATTTCAACCATACTTTCACTCGAAGTTGCTCTAATCACGTATCTTATATTAATTTTTTCTCAGGTAATTGCTGCGAGAGGTGAGCAGGAGGCAGCCAGGTCACTGAAAGAAGCTGCTAAAGTCATATCTACTTCACCCATGGCATTCCAATTAAGATATTTACAGACTTTGTGTGCAATTTCAGCTGAAAAGAAATCAACCATTTTCTTCCCGGTACCAATTGATATTATGCAGAATTTGAGCAGTGTTTCTGGACCAACGTTGGGACAATTATTTGACATGAAGAATCAGAAAGTAGAGAAAAAGCCTTTATTGGGTAAACCACAAATTTCTAAACGTAGTGAACTGAAGTCTCGTGATTCTGTTGGATCCCTCCCAAGTCATTCAGCGTACGTCTGTAGTCAGAATGAAGCCAAACATGCCCATCCACATATACCATTCTCAGCACAACATATTGCCGAGCAGCCTTGGCCTCAATCATTTGATATGGATCAGGAAGTTCAAGAGTCCAACTGGGCAAACGACAACGGGGATACGCATAGCGATACAGTGTGATATAACTTACAGTATCCAAGATGATAAACTAGTAATTTCACACTTAACTAATGATCATAAACATCCTGATCAAACCTAATTTCGCGAACGATGAACATATATTTATACAAATATGCACACCATTCTCATAATTGTGTGTTCTTTCCGTCTCGAGAATTGGTTATTTAGATATTTTTATGAATACATTTATTGACAATCTATTTAAAATAACACTTGTGAAAAGAAATAAATATGATAATATAAAATGGTTTTAGTTATCTCACATAGATATATACCAAACTGACACTAAGAATTTTATTCCGCGAATAAAAATGTCTGTTAAGTAACTTTTCAAACAAAGGTGTCGTTGTGTAGTCGAATTCTCAACTGTCTGGGTGCTCCTACACACTTTACAAAATCACTTTATTTTTCAAGCTTTCACATGTGTATAAGCATCATACTTCACGCTAAAGAAGATAAATTAGAACATTATTAGTCTGCATCCGTCCACTGTATTTCTTGGGATGATTAACAATACGTAATCTAAACTGCTTCACCGATTAATTTGAGCACTGAGTCAGTCTGTATCATTATAAAATTACTTAAAATAATTTCAGAGTGTTTGGAAAATCACGAAGGTTTCACTGTTTAAGCCACAGCTTCAGTTTTCTACTAAATTGAATAACTAGCATAACATACAGGGTAACAACCATCAATATGCCAGAACATGTAAATCACAGAACATCGCACGACTTCGAGACTTATTTACTTCTAAATCTTCAAATTATTTCTTATGTAATCTTATAAAAATGGCACTTTTCTCACCGACTGTTAGCCATTAACTGCCGAGTAACAGGTATTATCAATGGTTTTTAACATTCTCTTGTAAAGCGTTTCAGTTGTTAGACAGCCGATTTGTCACTTTTATACGTAGACAGTCAAAGATCTGTTTGTCTTTAAACCTTCAGAATATACACACTGTTGATTTTGAAATAGTAAACTGGAAAGAAAGCCATTGTATTGCTTTTTCCACCTTTTTCGTTTGATTGATTAACATTTCTACTAACAGGATTTTCCCAGTAAATTAGTAATCAAACCACTGGGAACCAGGAATTACTGAACGGCTGGTTTGTCCTAGTTTGAGATTCTTCATCGTCAAGCAGCCATGAACCCAGCTAGTATATAATGGCTTATGAATTCCCACTTCTTCTACAACCAGCCACTGTCATCAGAGAGTAGCTTTTCTCAAATCCGAGCTGGTGTGTTTGACTGGTTATGGCCCCATGCAGTTTAGTACTGTAGCCGGTCGCTTGTTGTGACCAGATTAATTTTCAAGTATTGGTTATTCGAGACTTGATTATTGTCAGGTAAGATCTTGGATTGGTGTGTTAAAAAGCAATTGAAAACTGGAAGTCACTGAACAACTCTTTCGCGCTAGTTCCATACTAGTATTTTAACCTGAACCTTCGTGTGCCTTCAGATCGTAACGTCTATAAAAAACTTGCTGGATTGCATTGATGACTTTTGTTAAGATCTCACGCAGGCAAAGAACCGAACAAGTGCTAATTGTTATTATTGTTCCCTTGGGTTCCTAGTGCAACATAGGGCTTCAACTGCATCTATCCACTTGCTTCTGTCTTCTGCTGTACTTTTCACCTGAATCCATGTTAGTCCATACTATGTCAACTCCTCTTCACACGACCTCCTCCATGTCACCCTTGCACTGACGTCCCACTCGCCGCTTCCCTTTCGGCCTGGTTCCACTCGAGCAATGGCCTGACGCGCGATGTCACCCAGCAGCCTCCTCTGCGCGTGTCCAATCCATCCTCACTATCTCCTGCATATTTGTTGGGCGATTGGTTCTTGTTTTGTTTGTTCCAATAGTTTCTTGTTCGTGATTCTTTCCGCTCCGGCCATCTGGTCTTCAGTATAGAGCCAGCGAAGACAGTTGTTGATAAACGTCTGCAACAGCCTGTTTGAGGAAATATTCTTTGTGACCCGCCCACCAAGTTTGTGATCCGTATAGGAGAACTGACTGACTTCACGACTGTATTGAAAATCCGACCGAATTTTGTTCTTGATGCTGGCTGAGTGACGAAGATTTCCAGATTGATTTCAGGTTGATGAATGTGTTTATCGCCTTCCCGATTCTGGCTCGATTTGACATCCTCTTCGTTCTGACTTCATGTAGTTGAGACAATGCTCCCTAGATAAGCAAGTGAATGAATTAAACTCTTTCAAATCCCTCCTTGTGATAATGATTTGAACTTGATGATGCTGTTGTTGTTGTTGTTGACCGGTTGGTTGGTTGGTTATTTTCATAACCTCCGTCTTGTCTTTGTTCACCTGGAGTCCCGTCTTCACCGGCTGCTTCTTCGACCAGTTTGTCGGTTTTCGCTCGCTTGTAAGTCTTTGATTTTGTGTGACACCCCCAAAATTAATCAAAGTGCTAGAGAAACTTCAACGCAAGTGTTAATTAGTTGATCATTATAACTGTACAAACACTGATAATTCTTGACTCTAGGCCAATATTGATTTACTTGATTTCTCAGATTTCGTCATAAATCGTAATCATTTAAGAATCGATGAAACGTAGGTTGCACTGGACAGTTACCAGTCAAATAGTAACACAATCACGTTATAATCTAAAGTTCTAAGATCACATTTCAGTGTGGATGTAAGTACATGTTTCTATGCAGTCCTAGTTCTTCTTCTTTTGCAGTGGTTTCTGAAGTGTTGTGGGTTGGTTAAGAAGTTTACTCTAAAATCACTTAAAGCAGAAAAAATGGTGGAATATACAGTTTTCAAACTTATGAGTTTAACATTACTGCATTCTTTTAGGTACGTACTTGTGAAATTAACTGTTCTAGTTAATAATGTACCCGCGATCTCACTAACTGTTCTTAATACAACATTTATTAGCATTTTGCGTAGCATTTTCAAGGTTTTCTACATGTCTAAGCGTATGTTTGTTTCTTTATCCAATAAAAGTGTTGCGATTAATTGAGGTGGCTGTTAACTTGCAAAGCTTTTGGATGGGCTGTTATTATATTTTAAGCCTTCTAGTCAGTCATAAATTTCATTTTCAATACTTTCCTTAAAAAAAACAATTTTTGACTCGTACTTATGTTATGGTTGAAATCATCGAAGTTGCATAATCGTGTTTTTAACGAATGTCAGTGAAATTACTGATGTTGTACATTCCTCATTCTATGTCTCATCGGATACTGAGTGATAAACATGAAATCTCGACGACGATAACAGCTGTATAATTAATTAATTAAGGCCATTAATTACTTCATGCTATGAGATATTAATTTCTCAGTTTTTTTTATCAATGTCCATGAGTTGCACTTAGTAGCGATTAAAGGTACATCTGACACTTCCTTATTCCAGGATTAGTTTGTATTCAAATCGTTATTATACAGAATTATATTTCACTGCTTTATTTACTGAATCGTCGAAGTAACTTATAAATAATATTTTCGCTGAAAGATTCACCAAACAACTTGATCCAAGTCTTATCGTATTCATTATTTTTAGTGCGCTCAGCTTATCACGAGGTGAACAGGAATTTATTATTTCGTCAGTGTCGTGAAAATCTAAGTGTTTTAATCACCGTAAGAAAACATTATTGTCGACGGAGATATATTCAAAGTGGGTAAAGCTACAAAACAATAACAACAACTTCCACAATGGTAATAAATCAGAGGTGAAAACAGTTGGTCCCTAGAGCATAATACGATGTAATGTAATGAGTGAATATTCTTGTGTGGAAATTTCTGAACAGTTCATTATGAAGCAATAAACATAGGACTGTGTACTGCACTGATTCTTTATTAATTACTATTTCATCGCATGGGGAAACCACCTTCTCAATCACCTTCAGTTGTAAGAGTTACTCAGATTTGAATTTCTAATTGATCAATGTACGTTTCAAAATATCTGCGTAGGAAACAAAATAAACAGTTAAACAAGTGCATGTCCAAATGTTGTATTGTCTTCTGATGTCTACTGCAACACTTTAACGCACACTTGCATATTTGTTCATACTTTCGGAAATACACAGACTATTAAAAAGATATGAGTTAGGCAAATACTAGCAAAGATAATTATAAATGCAAATATTTACTTTAAGTACATATATCGAAAAAGACTTCGGTCGGAAGTAATCATAATTTTATCTTATACCGTCAGGTAATATTTACATTTGTATTTTTGGCAGTGGAAGCTCCATGGAGTGAAACTGCAATGAAGTGAATATTGGAATAACATTTTCAAAAACGTTTAACCCAAGAATCCTTTTATTTTGCTGTTATTCACATTCCACAAAGTGAAAATCACTCCATAGATTATGTGACTTGATGCAGTGGCTTTTTGAATATCAAACCTATATCCACAGGAAGATTAGTGGAGAGTAATAGCTGTTTTTGAACTTCTGCTGATAAACTTTCTATCACTAACTTTTTCATTTTTAAAATAATTGCGTCAATAAAACTTAGAGCAGTTTGACAAATCATTCTGTAGAGATATTTAAATACACATTTTTTGACCACAACTTTTGTTCAAACAAACCTACTGTAGTACCATAATATTTAAAGTCCTGCTACAAACTCCAACAACTAGTTTGAGACTAATCAGTATCACGATGATGAATGAAGTCTTTATAACCTATTCACGTCGCCTAGTACATATTCTAATGTTTTAAACGATGTCGAGCTTATTTAGAAGAGTTTAATCTATGTTGGATCGCAAAACCAGCAATATAAGCTACACGAAACAACTGAAGTCTTGCTTAGTTGATTAGAAGTGATCAACTTTCGAAATGCTTTTCAGTAAAATGTTTTGCAGCGCAATTTTTCTGTTCTGGCATCGCGAAATGTTTGAAAATCTATAAATCTATGCTCAATTTTCCACTTTGTTCAAATTTGTATCGATTAAGTATTTAGAAATATGAACACAGTATCACTTAACTTAAATGTCATCTTTTACCAGAAGTCCAACAATAAGCAATTTGTATGAAACGCCATTGCCTTAATAACAGTAATAATAAATGCATTTATCACATGTGTGTAAAACAAACCTATACGCCCTCGTTGAATATTATCAACACTTCTGACCTTACTTCCTTATTGAATAGAGTTAAAAATTCTTAGATAAAGACAACATGGAGTCCTCTTTTCTGTATGTCTCCAATATTTTTGTTTTATGACGAAAACTCTTAGTTATCCTGCTAAATCATTTTCACGCTTTTCTTGGGATTATTA